ACAAAGGCAGAGGAGGAAGTGGGAGCAGGAATACTGCAATAAAGAAGTCAAAATAATATTCAGTACATAATAAATGGGAAATATCATGGGCACACTTGGAAAAGAGTATTGCTATGCTTCCTAATAGAAAGGTGAAAATTTCTGTTTTAGTCCTATAGTCTTCATATTTTAAGCTATTTTTATTTTATTTGTTTCATTATTTTATGTGCATGGAACAGAGAGAACCATCCATCTGCAGGTTTGGTCCTCAAATGTTTACAACAGCCAGGGCCAGCCAGAAGCTATAGACTAGGAATTCAATCTAAGATACTGAAGTGTAATGTTTGTAAGTTGGATGGGCACTATTCAGCCAAACTGGTTCCTCGCCCTGTGTTTCAGTCTCCACACTGGTAGATGGGGTAATACCTTTGGCATCACAGTATTGTGATGAACAATACAGGGCATGAAAACTTGTCAAAAGATGGGTATAAGGTCACCATAAATAGCACCCCACAGCAATTAAATCTCCAAGTCTTCAAAAGTCCTCTACATAGCCAGTGACAGTATTTGTGCTAAGTATTGTTGATATTAATCATAAGATAATGTTGTACATTTGTACATTGCTCTTACTTTTAGGAAAGTTTTGGTTTGATGGTAAATTTCATCCCCAAATTATCCTTTGCCATAAACAAAATATATTATCCCAACTGAATAGTGAAGAAACTGGAAACAAGTGGTGGGAGTGACAGTGAGTTTAGTCACTTTTACAGAATCGTAGTCTTAGGCTCCTCACATCCAGATTGGCCCCAATACCATAGACTTTTCCTTAATGTTCTCTCTACAATAACCCAGTTCTTTCACTAGTTTGCTGTTAGTCAACTCCAATGAACTTGAAAAACACTGCCATCTTTCATAAACCTCAAGCCACCTTCTCTTCCCTTGTTTTCTGAGCTTTCATTCACAGAGCTGACGCTGTTTCATACAGAAAAAACTATGTGATAATCACCTCTATTCCTGCGTTATTCTTCAGAGTTCAAAAGCATGTACGTAGTCAACTCAAAATTATGACTTCTCCTTGCACCAAGTTACAAGGATGTGACAGAACCTAAATAAAATTTGCACACTCACCTCATTTACGTACAAACAGCATGGCATAAAAGCTGATTCATAGGGAATAGCATGAAGGCATAGCAAGCTAATTCTCCCTGCAGCCCTGATATTTACATGGGCACTGGTTCTAGTCCCAGCTATTCCATTTCTGAGCCAGCTCTCTGCGTATGGTCTAGTAAGGAAATGGTGGATGACTCAGGTCTTAAGACCCCTGGATGAAGTTCCTGGCTTTGTATCATCTCAATTCCAACCATTGAGACCATATTGGGAGTGAACCTATGGGAAGAAGGGCTCTCCCTCAGTCTTTCCTTCTCCCTGTATAAAATCTACCATTCAAAATTTTTTAAAATTGTAAATTATTGATAGATGTTTGTAGCATGCAGTTATCAGTATCTATATATGTATACTAGTTTTAGTAGTGTATGTGTGGATTTATATATAAAATAAAATTTTATTGTATATGACAATATTTTAAAACTGGCTTCCATATATATGTATAATTTTGTTGTTATTAAAAATAAACCTCCCTTTCTATGAAACGGAGGCAATACCCATACCATAAACTCATCATGAGAAATAAATAAATTAATCATTTAGAGAAGTTTCTGGTACATGATGCATGATAAATGTGAGAATTTTGTAATTATTTATTCTGTTATAAAAGGATTCTTTACTTTTAGACAGTATTTACTAAGAGTTTTAAATATTGAGTCTTGTCAATGCATCAGTTACTTTATTCAAAAGTTAGACTTATACAAAGAGAGAGGGGAATGGAGAGGGAGACAGATTTTCCAACCACTGGCTCATTCCCCAAATAGGCCAGATGGCTGGAACTAGGCCAGTCTCAAGTCAGGAGGCCAGAGTGTCTTCTGGATCTCCCACACAGGCACAGAGACCCAAGTACTTGGGGCATCTTTCACTGCTTTCCCAGACACCAGCCCCAACACATCAATATTTTAAGTTAATCAATCTCTATTTCCTATGCACTTATCAGAAAAATAGTTCACCATAAAATATCCTATTATATTTTTTAGGTATCACTTAGATTATGTAACAGTAAATATTAGTAACTCATGTTAGATACTTTAGAAGAAATAAAAGTTGTAACTAGAACATATACAAGAATCTCATACCTGAAGACTTTAATCCAGGCCTTACCACCTTACAGCGCCATACATAAACATATATTAGCTATTTCCTAAGATTGAGCCATCCCCAATTATAACTACTTAATTCAGCAAGATTGAGGGGAAATGGCACTTGGAATGATTTAATCACATTGACCTTGGCGCATTTGTTTTTAAGTTGTTTTAAAAAATCTATTTACTTGAAAGAGTTATGAGGGGCTTGGGAGAGAGAGAAAGGGAGAGAAGGAGAGAGAGAATTTTTCCATTCTCTGCTTCACTGCCCAGAAGGCCAGAGTGATTGGGACTGAGTCCCATGAAGCCAGGACCCAGAAGCTTCATCTAGGTGCCCCCCAGGAATGTGTGGGCCCAAAAAATCAGGCCATCTTCCACTGCTCTTCCCAGGAGCTGGATCAAAAGTGGAGCAGTTTGAACTTGAATTGGTACCCATTTGGGGAGCCAGCATCTCAGGCAGCAGCTTATCATGTTAAGCCACAATGGCAGCCCCATGTGTCTAAGTTCATTCAGGGCTTGGATGTCCTCATGCCATGAAAAGTTGGAAGTGCTCTTCATTCATCACCACCTTCACATGCTCAGGCTTGGTCCAATTAATCTATCCCAACATGTACACCCAAATTAAGAAAAAATAAGTGAACACCTTGTTACACACCTCCATTTCAATTATTTGAAAAGAAATCCTTACTTTCAATCCTACTAATCTACTTGGATTTGGCATGTTTAGAATAAAGTCTTGAGCAGTGTTTTCTTTTTACGTTATTGCATAGAGTACAGGTGCTAAAAAATATTAAACTTGTACTTACAAAATATACCTATGAATAGTCCCTTTGGAGTAAATGACAGTTGGGAACTGTTGGATTAAACATCAGCTGGTAAAGTTTGGGGGTTTTATTTGTTTATCTTTGGTTGTGGTGGTGGTTTGTTTTTTACTGTGAGATTTCTCAGGAACCTAACAAATGCTATATTTGCTAACAAGGAGCAAGCTGGATCATATTACTTGGAAATATTTATACACAAAATCTATTTCAAAAACCCTCTTTTTATAACTAGCTTTCTAATTATGAGATATTATAGAGGGAACATGCTTTGGGAACTGTTTTAATATACGTGATTGTGCATTTTACAACTTTCATTTGAATCCCTTTTCTCAATAATGAATAGAATCACACCGTGTTTGTTATGCTGTTAGCAAATTCAATGATCTATACTTACATAGCTGAAATAATCAATTACTCTTTGAACCAGATGTTCTACACTGACCATTAGAAAATTTCTGTTGCTTTAGAACCATTTAACATGGCTGACTTAAAAAAAAACAAGTGATGAACTCAGAATCAAATAGAAACTTAAGATAGCCCGTAATCTACACAAAACCTGTGAGTTTGTCCAAACATTTGTACCCAACCAAAGGGTCTGAGGTTGATTTACATCTGTCACATGAACTCTTGGGGAGCAGACACTGATAAACTCAGGAGATCGTGACAGTCATTGACAATCTGTGATACACAGAAAATTCAAAGCAGCATATTATATCTTAAAAGTCATGTTATTATATTTTTCTGCAACCAGGAAAACTCCAAAGCTTGAGATTACTTTTCTTAAAAGCACATTGCTGCTAGACCGTGTTAATATTCAAAGAAATGAAACCGGCTTCAAGGATACAAACAGAATCTAAAGTGTTCAGCAGGTACTGCTTATAACATTTCATTGCAATTGAAATGCTGAGGCTTACACTTGAACTTGAGATACCTGATACCTTAATGTAGTCACACTATTTGGCATATATGTTAATTTTAACCAAAGCTAAAAAACAAAACACAAACATACAGAAAAACAGCACCCCTTCAGATGCAATAAGATTTTACAACCTGCATGTATAAAACTGTGACTGTAGGAAAATTGGAAGGAATTTGATGAGTGAAGCAGCGCATACAGACGTGTAAGTACTGCTCACACGGCTTCCTGTCACTGAGTGTTTAAAACCAATACATTGAAAAGACAAAACACAAATCTGATAAAAAAAAATAATAATTTGATAAGATTGGCTTAGCATTAATCACAGTGAAAAACGGGTATGTGAAGCTCTTAGCCAGAAGGCAAGCATTGTCTCCAGCGATTGTTTTGATCATCTCAGCTGCTCCAGGATTTTCTATTGCGTATCAGAAATTTTCTACTCTCCTTTTACACTAAGCTTAGTTCCAAGTGCTTCAAGCCCCGCCCCCCACCCCCCCCCCCCCGCCAACCCCCCCAAGGAACCAGGTTCAAGTTTCAGACCTAAAAACCTTACTATGGCCTGAAGGATTACCCTAGTGACAAGGCACATCAGGAGTAATCAAATCTCAAGTTAAGTCTTAAGTTACAGAAGTTCAATTGTTTCCCAAACTTGTGTTTAGAAATTCGAACGGCTCCTAGAAAAAGTCCTTAAGCCTAAACCCTGTACCTGAACAAGCAAAACAAAGTGAGGTATCCCGGCAGTCCCCGGAGGCATGCTGTAAGTGGCACGCGATGCACCCCATTCCTATTGTGAAGCGTACATTCTTCCTAACACTGGATGACACCGCAGAACAAAAATACTATTAGAAATGCTTCAAAAAGGAACATTTTGGGCTGCGATAGAGACTTTTGACATTATTTATTAGGTTCAAAAATGCTTCACAAAAGCCTAACAATGGTTCTGTGGAAACCAGTACATCTGAGGCCCTTTCTGTTGTTCTGGGCAGGCATTGATTGGAGGATGCGCAGCTCTCTCTGAACAATCCCTCACAGCGGCTAGAGGAACTGGGCATTCACCACCGGCCTGGAAAGGGCCTGTGAACAAGCCGTATGGAAACGCCGGGGTGGGCGGGGCGGTGCCGAGGAGCAAACCTTGATTAACCTCTTGGGGGTCGTATGGGTGGAAGCACCCGCAAGCAGAAGGGGCACTCCTGCCACACTCCCACGGAAGGAGGCATCGGCCCTCGGCCTCCTTTCCACAGGAGGATGCTTCCGGAGCGTCTCTGGCGCCATGGCAACCGTGCTTCTTCTTGCTGCATTTCCGTAGACGCCTAGGAGTTGGCGTTGGAAATCCGGGTGTGCCCGGGCTGCCATCCTCTCCTCCAGCTGGGGGTCTGAGCAACTCCGCCAGACGCTTGGCTGGGCGACAGAGGTGTAGTTCCCGCAGAGGCCGATGGCAGTAAAAGGTCGGGCAGCTGTCCCTGGAAGGCCAAGACGGGCAGCATTAACACTCTGGGTCGCGACCCACCACAGTGCTCCAACTGGGGGGTCTTTTACAGATTCTCTCACAAACAGTAGGTGTTTGGGAAATCACTGTAATATTAGAGAAGAGACCTTGGCTGGGCTCCCACTTCCGTGTTTCTGCACATGAGTATCCTAGGAAGCAGTGGGTGATGGGTTGGGTGGTTGGGTCCTTGCCATCACAGCAGAGATTTCAATTGATTTCTGAGCATTTTGCCTGTCTATTACAGGTATCTGGGGCATGAATCAGCCAAGGAAGACACCAACCCTACCCACACCCCAAACAGCCACATACACAATCTACCATGCTTTCAAATGAAATGAGATTTAGAATCCAAGAAGCAATGACCTCACAACCTTTATCTGAAATTGCAAACCAATCATTTTCCTAAATAACTTTTTCATATAAAAATGTAAAAATATAGCCAAGACTGCAAAAAAAAAAAAAACCCACATTCTTTCCACTTGCATTTTCATATATATAGAATATCAAAGTGTTTATTCGGGGAATTTTACTCATTGCCAACACAAATTGGAATCCAATGCTTCAGGAGTGTAAAATTTGCATGCTATAAGTCACTTTTTACAAATTTTTGAATACTTTTCTTAAACGTGTTTAAGAACAGAGACGCAGACAGAACTGTCATCCATTGACTCACTGTCCCCAAATGCTTACAATGACAGGCTTGAGCTGGGTCCCACACCGAGAACCTGGAATCCAACCCAGGTCTCCCACACGAGTGGGCAGACATAACAGCCTGAATTTCACCTTCTTTCCTTTCTCTCTTGCACCCTCTCTCTCTCACACTTGCTCTTTTTCTTCTTGTTCTTTTCTCTTTTGTGGAGAATATATTGCTTGGGCCAGCTATTCCTTTGTTTCTGGGATGCTGAGCCTACTAACAGGAAGCAGACAACAAGTCCGTCCCTGACTCATCGAATTGCACTGCATCAACTAACGCATGTGTAATAAAGGTAACAGTGAAACTGCATGAAAGATGTGAGTGATATGATGCAGAGTGATGTGGTCTTTCTAGACTTGTTATAATAGGACTTGCCATATAATTAGTCATCTTTATGTTTCCATGGAAGTTAAAATACACTGTGACCAGTTGAAATAAGAAGTTAGGGACCACGACTTGATACCTACCAGAATCTCCTTGGGATCTGTCCGAGGACTGGTTTTGAGGTTTCCTATGTCTTTTGAAATGTACACCCACAGCCTCCAGGTGAATGGGAGTTACTGAATGCTGTAAAATGGGCCTTTTTGCCATTTGCTGTTCCAAAAACGGACTGCTCCAGGCCTGGTTAGACACTCTTCGGTCTGACTTCTTAACTTTTCCTTTGACATTGGAGCTTCGTGGGGATGCATCCCCTTCATTGGATGGTGTAGGGGTGGGACAGCAGTCTCCATAGCTTTCGTCTTCAGAGGAGGTTGTACTTACAGGAGACCTGGGAATCATATACTTGTGCGTACAGAGTAGTTTTTTAAAGGCCACTGGACTCTGGGCGCTACCTGGAAGCACTGTAAAAGGAAAGCACGTTAGTTTAAAAGAATGAATTATAATATCACTTACTACATCAATGGCAGGAAAGATGAAGCAGATAAAAGGAATTTTTGTATGTTTTGATCTTTACTCTGAGCAAACAGAAATAAAAAAGAAAATGGGGTCTGGGGTAGCTAAATGGAAGAGGGAAGAAAAAATAACAGAAGGAAAGGGAAGGAAAACATTGACAATGCTTTTGTATGAGACCCTGCAGTGTTTGCTGTGTAGTACTCGGGAGAATCATAGCTGGTAGGTAGTGTTGTTGTCTTCATTTTACAGTTCATAAAGCTCACATTATGTCCTTCTAAAAGGCTTGAACTTCCTCTAGCTTCTGTGCAAGTGTTCTTATTTGGAAACAGGGTCTCTGAAGATGTAGCTGAGTTAAGATAAGGTCAAACATGCTTGAGGTTAAGTCTTAACCCCGGATTTCTGGTATACTTGCAGGCAAAGAAAACACACACACACACACACACACACACACACACACACACACACACACACATTAGCAGAGTTGGAGCTTGAATCTGCATCTCTCAACACCAACCCAATCCTGATTGGCCAAGAAATCTCTCAGAAGCACCTGCAGAAGGTAAATCAAAACAAGCCTAGTTTAAAACTGCTCAGACTGTTGTACAAAGCCCAGAGTAAAGCTGTGCTTCCCAGGCTGAGTCTTGTCCAGCAGCTCACTGAATCAGCTGTCCTCAGAACTTCCGAATGAAACCAATACTGGTGATACCCGGATTTCGGAACTTCTGGCTCTAGAACTGAGGAAACAAATGTCTGTGTCCAACTTGTAGTAGTTTAGTATAGGTACTGTAGAGACTAATATATCCAGGATAGTTCTAAATTATAGACACTGTCCCAGAGTAATGCTTAATACTTAATTTTTTTATTAAAAAAAATAACAAGGAATCCATACACACACACATATATATACATGTATATGTATATACATGTGTATATACATGTATATATATGTGTGTATGTATATACATGTATATATATGTATATATATATACAGAGGAATACAAAGGAAGGAAATTTAGGAGGTTATTAAGAAAGAAATTAGACATCTTGAATTTTGCTGTGTGGAAGAAATTACACAAAGTCTAGCAACTGGAACCAAGACACTTAGTCTCAATGTACAAAGCTCAAATGGCAGGGGATGCTACCCATGCTGGGTGCCAGGGCACGCTCCTCCTGAACCACAAACCTTGTCTGAAGAGGATGAATCTAAGAGAAATGCTTTTAGGGGTCAGCTAACAAGAAAATGACAGAGGGGCCATGCAGAGATGTCCCAGCACAGAGACCAGATACCTCTCAGATTCTTTCATTTTCATAAGAACATATGGGCACAGGGTAGACCTTTTCTCTGGATTTTGAAAGAAACAGAAAAAAAACTGTCTTAAATATATGTAAACATACATTTTTGCTTATACAATATGGAATATGCAAAACACAAGCACGTTTGGAATCATCATTGACCACCAGTTATATTCTTGGTCTAATGGCCAGCACTCTAGAAGCCACACAGTCACTTAACTCTTACCATCTTTATCTTAGAACATGATCTCACAAGCTTTCTGCTTGGAACAGTAGAATGCATGTGTGAGCCCGCTGCATAGGCAGATTGCTGAGCTCTGGAAATCTGCTCTACTTCCAAAACTTGAGGTGGCGATTATCATTTTCTTTTGGTTTTTCCATTTTGTCTTAAAGCCTGGAATTTGAAAATCTATACCAAATACAGAGAAACAGCTAAAGTCTTTCAAAACAAAAGCATAGAGTCTCTTGATCCCCTAAGAAAACAAACCAAAATCAACAGCATTCAACCTGCCCTTTTTCTTTTATTCAAACATCAGGAACAGGATGGAAGACATGAGAAACTTGACACATCTTCACAGCCCAGAAACTTGGGTTAAAAGAGACGTCCAATGTCATCTGAGACTGAATCCCCAGCACCCTCAACATCCTCGCTCCACTGCTTCCCAGAGATGAAATCAGTGACTTTATATTTACAAAATGCAGGTTATGTATTTATACATGAATTTATGCATGTGTGTGTAGGGGATTCTTATCAAAGCCACCATGTATGTTATTGGGATAAGCAGTGATTATGCGTAGTATTCAGTTATGTAACCAGGTTTTACTGAGCAACTGGCATGTACTAGGTACTACCCCAATGACAAAACATTAATCAGAAAAATAAAAGTGACTATATTGGGACTAAGTGAGCCAGATCATTTGTAGTAAAAATTGAACTTGAGCACAGAAAACCTGACACTTCCAATTTCACAGCCTGGTTTGTGACTTCTATTTCCTCTAAGATGCAAAAACCAGGTTGCCTAAATGAATAGAACAAGCTGTTTTGCAATTAAACAATTAGAAGTACACTGCTGGAAAAGGAAAGCCTTTTGGCAATTTGTAATGATTTTCATCAGTGACAAGATTTGAGCCAATTTCTGTAGCTCATGACGTAAGGCTGGGGGTTATTGCTGTTAGACTACACATCTTTTGAGTCTAATTCATTATTTCCCAACACTAGCTGCACATCAGACAATACCTGACAAGCTTGCTTACTTTTTAAAATCTTTTTTATTTCTTTTTGACACTTTAGCAGACCTATAAAATTGTTCATGTTTATGGGGTTATTATTTGATATTGAATTATAATACACCTTGTGTAACATCAAATCAAAATAATAAATATAGTTATTCATTTAGGCATTTAACTTTTCTTTTTAGAATAGAATATTCTAAAAGAATAGAAAAATATTAATTATGTTACTATATGTCCCCTGCTGTGTAACAGAACTCCAGGACTTCTCACTCCTATGCAGCTATAACCTAATATCCACCAACCAACTTTGCTCAACTCTTCCTCATCCCTTCCTCTCTACTTCTACCCCCCAGCCTCAGGTAACTACCACTATGTTTTTGATTTCTACAAGATCACTAGCTTTCAGATTCCACCTATGAATGAGATTATACTTGCCTTTCTGTTCTTGGCTCATCTTACCTAACATAATAATATCCAGTTCCATCCACACTGTTACAAATAATAAGACTTCATCTTTTTTTTGCTGAGTAATATCCAATTGTGCATGGACAGCAAATTTTCTTTATCCATTCATCAGTAGATGAACACCTAGGTCTCTTCTGTTTCTTTGGCTCTGGTGTGCTTTAAATTGTGTGGATAGGTCATCCTGCTCCTGATGAACCAGAGAGTAGGACCCAAAGGTCTGAATGTTATAAAACTTTCACTGTCTAAAATGTGTAAACATGGTAGAGAGTCACAGGTCTCAAACGCTCATCAGAGATTGCAGATACTAGAGTCAGTATCAACCCTTCTCAGTTACCTTTTCATAAACTGTCTCATTTCAGAAGTCAAACTTAGATGCCCCTTTAGAGCTTGCATATCACTTTCTGTTGTATATATTTTCACATAAAAAAGCCCATGTAAGCCTCACATATACTCTCCAGCTCATCATTTTCCTGTGATGAAAAGTACGACTCGGCAAGAGCAGGGTCTTATCCATAGCACTGGACAAACATTGCAGACGCTGGCATGGAGACTCTGATCTTTGGATTTGAGGGTAGTTTATTTTTTTGACTACATGACCAATGCTAATGATGTCCCAAGTTACATGTTGACTGACATTGACTGGTTTGGGAGGAGTGTTCACAATATAACAGCTGGGGCCCGGCGCGGTGGCGCAAGTGGTTAAGGTCCTTGCCTTGCACCCCTGGGATCCCATATGGGCGCCGGTTCTATCCCAGCAGCCCCACTTCCCTTCTAGCTCCCTGCCTGTGGCCCGGGAAAGCAGTCAAGGACAGCCCAAGGCTTTGGGACTCTGCACCCACGTGGGAGACCCGGAAGAGGCTCCTGGCTTCGGATCGGCATAGCATCGGCCGTTGTGCCCACTTGGGGAGTGAATCATCGGACGGAAGATCTTCCTCTCTGTCTCTCCTCTCTGTATATCCGCCTTTCCAATAAAAAATAAATAAAAATAAATCTTTAAAAAAAAACAATATAACAGCTGACAATAATTGGATACTGCCCATCAGCCAGGTTCTGCCCAGCTGTCCAGGCTTTCTCCCAGGGAAAATTCTAACAGTGTTATGTACAGAAGGAATGATGGCATTATGCTCTGATCAAGTATCCTGCTCAAGGCGCAGTGAATAAAATGAGCAAAATCTGAGTTTGACACTATGGAAGCCTTCTCCAATGGACTGCACAGTTAGCTGGTTCTTCCTGCTCCCTCGGGCAACTCGTATAAAAGCTTAACTTTGCCTAACCATTGAGACACCTGTTTTTGCTTGGTTGTCATTGTTGTTAAAGAAAATCTCTCAAACCAAAAATTCAGGTTTTGCAAGTTCTTTTAGTGTGTAAGCACTTCCGCCTCTGATTGTGCAGCACAGGCCTTCCATCTGTTACTAATTCTATTTGAAATATTGTGGCCGACAGATCTCAAGGTACAAAACCTCAGGGCAGAATGTATTTTACAAACACAATGTCTCATTTTCTTTGAGCTGTGAGATAACACATGATAAATCATGACAGATGTTAATATGTTCAATGGAAAAAAATCAAATAAGAAACCCTTGACGTATGGCCTCACTGGGGTGCCAGCAAGCAAGCGGCTCTCCTTATCACACACACTTCTTGCTGTCCTCTCAAAATGTTTCTTTCCCTGCTCTCTGTCTCTTCCACTCTCTCTTGCTTCTAACCTGAGCATGTTTATCTTATGACAAAGCTAGAGGCAACTGTCTTAATAGGGGAAAAGAAGCACAGAGACAATTAGTTGCCCAAACCTGATTCGACCCTTTGCTGTAGGTATCAATAGAGGATAATGTTAAAGGGTTTTATCTCTTATATATCCACAATCAAACAAAAGCTTTAAATAAGTCTGTGCTAAATATTTCAATATCGCAGGGTTTTTAAATAGCAGTTTTAGACTACAAAATGAGATTTAATAAAG